AGCCTCTGGTCAACCAGGGTACCAGAAACCAGGGCTTCTTCAGTTCTGGGATTCAGAGGGTTCTCGTCAGTTATCCCCCCTTTCTAACCGGGGACCCTCCCGACTCTCAAACTATGGGTGGGCTGACCTGGCCCAGGAGGGTCGTGGCTGACCCTAGGTCTGCGACTGGTGGGACCATGTCGTTCCCCGGAACTTCCCAGCTGTCTGTGGCTGCTGCCTTACCTGTGGCCTCCCCTGGGGGCTCTTCCCACAACAGGGCACTGCCTGGCTTCCCACGCCTGGGGACCATGGTGTCCCTGCCTTAGGAACTCCCAACTCCCAAACCACAGGTGGGCTGACCTGACCCAGGAGCGTCTTGGTTGCTGCAGGGCCTGCGGCCTATGGGATTGTGGCCTCCCCTGGGGGCTGCAGGGAACTTCCTGAGTCCCAAACTACGGGCTGGTTAACCTGCCCTTTGAGGCAGTTCACCTGCCCAGGCCCAGCAGCCTGCAGGACTGGGGCTTCCTCTGGGGGCTTCCCACCATCCAGGGCCACTACCTGGTTGCCTGCCCCCTTATTGTGACACACACCACCTGGCTGCCTCATTATTTTGAGGGGGCGCTCTATCTTCTTTCCCTCAGCCAGTGTTCCTAGGAGAGGCTTAAGGGTGGGATCCTGCACCTGGACCGTTTTCAAATCTGGGGCCAGTACTACCCTTGCACCCCACCCCACCCCCCTGCTTTGCTCCCCCTCTATCACGGGCAGCTGCTAGCAGGCCTGAACCCCTTGGTTCCTAGCAGGTACCTGTTTGGGTTCCTAGCAGGTACCTGTTTGGGTTCCTTCCTTGGCCAGTGTGCCAGCCTGGTGTTTACCCTCAGCATAGGGTCGAATCTTTACTCTCTGCCCCACCTGCACAGTCAGCCACAGGGATTTCCCTTCCTGCTGGCTCACCTGTGCCTTGTTTGGGTTCACCCTGGACCCTTCCGGTTCTCGTCACAGGCCACTGTTGTTGTGTGGGGTAGTAGAGACTCTTGTACTAGTCTCTGTGGCTGCCATCCGTGACCTTGAGTGCAGCCTGGAATGCTTTTGAAAATTCATCAAAGGAGTTAGGGTAACACAGCGCTACTGGACCCGGTTTTCGGGTGAGCACGGGAGGATCTCTCTCCTCACTCTTCTTCCGGGCATTGGGGCAATCTTTCTGCCAGTGCCTGGTCTTCCCACATCTGAAACATATGCTACCTCCCTCCTGACGCCACTCTTTCTAACCCCGGAAGTGTTTAATCTCGTTGATCTTTCCCTTGGGGACTTTCTTCTCCCCCCACCTATTCCGAAATGTGAGAGATAACGGTCTTAGAATGGACTCCTGAGTAATTTGGGGGTTCTCAGGGTCAAACCAAAGTTCAGCTTTGGCCCGCAAACTTTTGGTATCATCCCATTATTTGGGAAGCTCAACTCATTCAATGCTGCCCTCAAAGACTGGTCCCAGTAAGCAGAAAGAATGCATTATTTTTTCCAGGCAAATTACATCGGGGCAAATGAAAAGCAATGACTAATTCTCCTCACAGCTTGTGTACCTGCAGCTTTTCAGTTATCAGGACCCTAACATTTCCCAAGGGATCAGATACCAAATCCTTTCAAGAATTGAGAGATTTAGTTAAGGAATATTACAACTGCAAATCTCCTCCAATTCTGAGATGCTATTGATCTTACTTGGTAGTTCGAGAACCAGAGGAATCCATGTCAGGACTTTTGAAAAGGTTAAGATGACTGCAGAGGCATGTGACTTTGGTTTAACTCTTAATAAGATGCTGAGAGACCATTTGGTATGCGGGATTAATGATGTAACTATGCAAAAGTGCCTACTAGCTGAAGCCCAACTGGACTTCAAACAGACACTACGACTGGCTATGTCATTAGAAAATGTGGCTGCTGGAGCCTATGGTATGCTATGGTATGCTGATGGAAGTGGACACCATCAGCAAGCCAAATGAGCTTGGGGACACCACTTGAGTGAAGGCAAATGCATAGCCTCAGTCAGGACATATCCTGAACAGAGGGACTCTAAGTCAGCCCACAGCAAAACTCCAAAACAAAACCAAGTCTTGGACAAATGGTTAACATTTTCTTCAGGATCCAGGCTGTAAAGCCATTATAGTTGCGCTTGTGTGCGGGCCCAAGACAGCAAAAGAGTCCCACTAGGCCTGAATTGAGTAGGACAACTCATAGGCTGAGTTTAACAAAAATTTTAACAAAATTTGCTCTGGATTCCAACCCTTAAGACCTCAGCTGGACTGACAACCAATACCAAAGAATCATTATGGATTAAGGGTACAGCTTCAGTTCTGGTCTCATATGTGAAGTAATTGGTTCAGTTGGAGGCAGAAATCAGGAGACTGGAAAGCAAAGAAATCATTAACCTAGTACAATTTGTGGAATGGGCAGCACCAGGCATACCAATTGTGAAGTCCAACAGGTCCCAGTTTGGTTTGTGGAGAATTTAAACAAACAGTAAACCGATTTTTACAGCTGGATAAATACCCAATCTGTCACATAGAGAACTCATACACAAATCTGGCAGGAAGGTCTGTCTTTCATGAAGCTAGAACATGAGCCATGCATACCTGCAATTGCAGTTAGATGAGATTCCCAGGCATATGCTACAATAAATACCCAGTCAACAAGGTGCAGGGCTGGATGAACACAGCAGGCCAAGCAGCATCATCTCGGATTCTCCAGCATCTGCAGTTCCTACTATCTCTGATTCAATAAATACCCAGTATTGGTTTGTACCAATATATGAGATTGTCATTTGGGGTACCATCAGCCTGTGGCATTTTTCAATGGGCAATGGAGAACATTTTACAAGGTCTACTCTAGTTCGTCATTTATCTGGATAACATGCTAATGACAAGGAAGACCAGTAAAGAGCACTTGGAGAACTTCAACATAGTCCTTAGACATTTCTCCAAGGTGGACATACACCTTAGAAAGGTAAAATGTGTGTTCTAGGCACCCCAAATGACCTACTTGGGCTACAGTTGACAAGACCGGGTTATATCCGTTGGAAGATAAAAGGAGGTACTGGAGTTAAAGTACTTACTAGGAAAGGCCTCAATCTTGGCAGTGTTAAATTTGCTATTGAAAAAGGGTCAGTCTTGGAAATGGTTCGTAGCCAAGACATAGCCTTTATGGAAGTGAAGAAGCAGCTATCGTCTAAGCTGTTGGCACACCCACACGAGGTTTGGGGCTGACATGCAATGCCTCCCAGTATGGTATCGGGGTAGTGTTGGCTCACAGATGGCCCAATGGAGAGGAATGCCTAATACTGTATGCTTCCCAGACTTTGGCTGATGCAGAGCACAAATGTGCCCAGACAGAGAAGGAAGGTTTGACGGACGGTCAATTTTGGTGTGAGAAAATTCCACCAATACCTTTACAGATGTAAATTTGTAATAGGAACAGACCACAAACCCCTGGTAGGGGTACTGAACGAGGACAAGGCCCTGCTGCCCATAGATTCAGGTTGAATTCAGCAGTGGGCAGTTCCATACATCTGAGTGTACAATTACAAGTTGCAAAACCGTCCAGGAGATCAAGTAACAATTACCGATGCATTAAGCCACTTCCTTCTGGCAGATACACACCAGCGGCACTGCCACTGGAAGAGTCCATTCTGGTTTCAAATTTTCTGGGCGTCTTTTTGGTCACTGCTGACAATAACTCTGCATGCAAAAAGATCAGGTCCTGGCAAAACTAGGTCAGGTTCTATGATGCACAAGGTTTGGGTAGATGAGGTTGTCCTGAACAGTCATGTGGACCATGTGAAAGCCACAGATGGGGCAGGAGCAAAACATACTTCACCCCTCAGAACGGCCAGAAAGGCTGTCAAAACTCCCTCTGTCTAGCATCAAAGAAACCTTGCAGTCTGAGATAGACACAGCGAATGTCATGGCTTTGACACCTTAATCGACTTTACTGCCTGAAGAAGAGGGTGAATTTCTTTGAAGATGTTCTGGGCACAAGAGACGGGCTATGGTCCAGGACACAGTGGCTGAGTCAGAGGAACCGGACTGTTACAAAAATGCCCAGGAGAGGCTACAAGAAAAGGAGCAGGTCTATGTCCATGGACTTGGAGGGGGAGGTACTAATGATTATAATGAGGTCAGCCAGGTGGACCTCATAGAATACAAGTTCCCTGTTTGGGACTGTTAATCTGGTCCAATCAGGGAGCCCTGGCTGGCAGATGTAAATACGAGTGTCAGAGGTTCTGTTCACTCTGAGAAGGCCAGTACTAAACAAGTATAAATAAAGGGTCACTTGATGATAGGATACCAGCCTCTGTGGAGTTATTTCAATCTGCAGTCTCGCCTGTTTCTGTCTTCCCCCTCTTTCCCACGTCCTCCGTCTCCCTCTCACCCTCTCTTTCCCCAGTCTTGCCAATCTCTTTCACGCTCCCTTTCCCCAGTCATTTTGGTGTCTCTCCCTCTCTATCTCTCTCTCTCGCGTTCTCCCCAGTCCTATCAGTCTGTTTGTCTGTTTCTCTCTCTCTCTCTCTCTCTTGCCCCACTCATTTCTGTCGCTCCCTCTCTATCTCCAGCCCTTCCTTTCTCTTTCTCTCACTCTCTCTCCCCCCGCAGTCCTACCTATCTCTGTCTTTCTTTCCCCAGTCCTGTCTGTCTCCCCTTTTCCCACTCATTTCTATCTCACTCTCTCTTTCTCTCTTTCCCCAGTCTCCCTCTCATTTCTCACTCATTGTGTGTCTGTCTGTCTATCTTTCTCTCTCTCTTTTTCCCCAGTCCTGCCTGTCTCTCTTTTCCCCCAGACCTATCTGTTTGTCTCTCTCTCTTACCCCAGTCCTTTCTCCTTCCTTCTTTCCCTGGTTTTAACTCTGTCTTGACAGATTTCAGGAGAAATGTTGTCTTGTTATCCAATGGAGGCTGTATGATTAACAGTTTCGACACAGATAGTCCCTCATTTATTCCCAAATCTCACGCAGATACAGGTTCATTCTATTCACCCACCTTCAGGATCCTGTCATATCCATACTTCCCCACAAATCCCAGGAAGTAAACTCCCCACGAGTTCATCAGATCACTGTAGGGAGTCCCAGTGACCCCACTGGCTGCCATGGCAATTCGAGGAATCACACTCTCACTGTAAACCTGAAGCAAAGAAAGAGGAACACACATTGAGCAGTCTCTGTGACACAGAGCATCCTGTAGGTTGCACATTCTATCAGAAATAATGGAAACCAAACCCAAGGAATTCATTGAGTAACAGGAAATAGAGGGTCATACTTAATAGATGTGTTTCTTTTTTGGCTTAAGGGAAGATTTGTAGTGAATTTCACCTGTGGTTGATGTTAAGGCCCTTGCTTTTCCTGATATATTTTAATGACAGATTTTGGTGTATGCGGCACAATTTCAAAACTTGCAGATGATACGAAACTACTTGGAAGAACTATAAACTTTGAGGACTGAGTAGAACTCCAAAAGGACATTGTTAAGTTGATGGAGTGAACAGATTTGTGGCAAATGAAAATTTTGATCCCAGCTATAGTACAACTGGGCAAGGGGTCTGTTAGCTGGACAGCTGATTTGTGATGTAGGCTGCTGCCAACAGTGTGCATTCAATTCCTGCACTGGCTAAGGTTACCACGAAGGACTCACCTTCTCAACCTCCTTTGCCTGAGGCATGGTGACCCTCAGGTTACACTACCATCATTTGTTTCTCTCGAATGAGAGAGTGGTCCTCTGGGACTCTACAGGCTGTATCTTTTTTTGCCAGTGGACTAGTCAGAATGAAACCTGCCTTGGTAGACTTTTCTTTTCTTTATTTATTCACAGGATGAGGGCGTCACTGGCTAAGCAACATTTATTGCCCATCCCTAATTACCCAGAGGGCGGTTAAGAGTCAACCACATTGCTGTGTGTCTGGAGTCACATGTAGGCCATACCAGGTAATGATGGTAGTTTCCTTCCCTAAAGGGCATTAGTGAACCTCTTTTGTTTGATTAGCTAACCTGGAGGTTAATCAAATATCCATATGAAGCTGTGGACATTCCTTAACAACAGAATAAAAGATTATTACGCAAAAGAAAGAAATTAAACAATGCAAGCTATAAATATACTAAACAGTTAGAAAGATCTGACTGCACCTTAAACAGGATGAAGAAGAGAGAGTTTTGGGAGAGCTAGCACCTGGCAAGGCTGGAGTCTGAGGAATTGTATAAGGCTTGGAGATTCAGCTTTTATGAAGGACCCAACAGGTACAGTTTCACAGCTGTCAGACTGAGAAACTGCACAAGGGCTCTGGAGATCAGGTTTCACTAAAACAAACAAGCAGAGGCGGGTCCTCTTTGGAGAGTTGGTGAGGACTTGACGTGCTGAATGGCCTGCTTCCACATTGTAGGGATTCTATGTTTTCAACCATGCCCTATCTCCATCCCCTTACTAGTTTAAAGCCTCCCGAGTAGCACTAGCAATTTTCCCCACAAAGATATTGTTCCCCTTCCAATTCAGGTGGAACCCATCCCTCTTAAACTGGTCCAAAAATGTGAGTCCTTGTCCCCTGCACCAGCTCCTCAGTGACATATTCATCTGGTCTGTCCTCCTATTCCTACTTTCATTAGCACATGGCACCAGTAGTAGCACAGATATTACAATCCTCAATGACCTACGTATTAACCTCTTGTCTAGTTTCCTATATTCTCTCTGCAGAACCTCATCCCTTTCCCTACCTATTTTGTTGGTGCAAATGTGCACAATGATGTCCTACTGGTCACCCTCCCATTTGAGAATATTCTGCACCCTCTCCAAGACATCCTTGATTCTGGCACCAGGGAGGCAACACACCATCCTCATGTCTCGCTTACAGCCACAGAAATGACTGTCTGTGCCCCAGACTAGAGAGTCCCCTATTACAATCAATCGCTTGGAACCTGATATACCCCTCATTACAAAAGAACTAGTCACAGTATCAGAAACCCGGCTGTCAGTCCTATACTCCCCTCACAGGCCCTCCCCTCCTACAGTATCCAAAACGCCATGCCTGTTTCAGATGGAGATAGCCACAGGATAGTCCTGCACCACCTGGCTACCTCTCCTCCCATTGCTAGCTATCAACCATCTGCCTGACTGTATCTGCGGTGTTTCCACCTTCCTGAACTGCCATCCATCACACTCCCTTACTCTTGTAAACTCCTCATTGTCTCTAGCTGCTGCTCCAACCGATCCATATGGTCCTGTAGGATTTGCAACCAAACACACTTCCCGCAGACCTAGTCTCCAGGAATATTCAAAATCTCCCAGATCTCTCTGAGGCAAAAGAGGAGGGGGAGTGTCTTTTTTGGTTATGAAGAACATTATGGCTGTACTTAGAGAGGATATTCCTGGAAGACTGTCCGTGGAAGATATATGGGTGGAATTTAAAGAAAAGAAAGGGATGATTGCCTTTTTGGGATTGTATTGTAGGCCCCTAGTAGTCAATGGGAAATTGAGAAGCAAATATGTGAGGAGAACGCGTAGGAGTATTGATACGCAGAGGGATCTGGGTGCACAAGTTCACAAATCACTGAAGGTGGCAGCACAGGTAGATAAGGTGATAACAAAAGCCTATGGTATGCCTGTCTGCATTTTTTTTCTTTATTCATTTGTGGGATGTGGGCATCGCTGGTTGGCCAGCATTTCTTGCCCATCTCTAGTTGCCCTTGAGAAGGTGGTGGTGAGCTGCCTTCTTGAACCGCTGCAGTCCTCCTGCTCTGGGTCGATCCACAATGCTATTAGGGAGGGAATTCCAGGATTTTGACCCAGCAACAGTGAAGGAATGGCGATATATTTCCAAGTCAGGGTGGTGGGAAACTTGGAGGTGGTGGTGTTCCCATTGAAAGGGGCATTGAGTATAAGGATAGGCCAGTTATGCTGCGGCTCTATAGAACTTTGGTTAGGTCACACTTGGAATAGTGCGTACAGTTCTGGTCACCACATACCAGAAGGATGTGGATGCTTTTGAGAGGGTACAGAAATGTTTTACCAGGATGTTGCCTGGCATAGGAGATTTTAGCTATGGAGAAAGGTTGGATAGACTGGATTTGTTTTCACTGTGTTTCACTAACGCAGGAGGTTGAGGGGTGACCTGATAGAAGGTTATAAGATTGTGAATGGCATAGATAGAGTGGAAAGTATGAGTCTTTTTCCCAGGGTGGAGGGGTCAATTACTAGGGGACACAGGTTCAAGGTACGAGGGGGAAGTTTAAAAGAGATGGGAGGTTTGTCACACAAAGGGTGGTGAGTGCCTGGAACACGCTGCTAGAGGAGGTGGTGGAAACAGACACAATAGCAGCGTTCAAGAAATACCTGGACATATACATGAATAGGAAGGGAATAGAGGGATGCAGATCCTGTAAGTGAAGACAGTTCTGGTATGGAAGGGCAAGATGTGTCAACATAGGCTTGGAGGGCCAAAGGGCCTGTTCCTATGCTCTATTGTTCTTTGTTCTTTGAGATTTCAGATATCTGCAAGAAAAGTTAGGTTGTAATGGTAGGCAATTTTAACCTTCCAAACATAGACTGGGACTGTCATAGTGTTAAGGGTTTGGATGGGGTGGAATTTGTGAATAAGAAAACTTTCTTATTCAATATGTGGATATACCTACTAGAAAAGGAGCAATACTTGACTTTCTGTTAGGAGGTAACGCCGGACAAGTGACTGAGGTGTCAGCGGGGAGAACACTTTGGAGCAAGTGATCATGATTCTATTAGTTTTAAAATAGTTTTGGAAAAGGATAGAACGGATCAAAAAGTTAAAATTCAAAATTGGAGTATGGCCAATTTTCATAGAATCCCTACAGTATGGAAACAGACCATTCGGTCCAACAAGTCCACACTACGCCTCTGAAGAGCATCCCACCCAGACCCATTCCCCTACCCCTACCCCTGATTTCCCATGTTTAACCCAAACATCCCTGGGTATGATGGGCAATTTAGCATGGCCAATCTACCTACCCTACACATCTTTGGACTGTGGGAGGAAACCAGAGCACCTGGAGGAAACCCACGCAGACATGGGCAGAATGTGCAAACTCCACACAGACAGTCGCCTGAGGCTGGAATTAAACCTGGGTCCCTGGTGTTGTGGGGCAGCAGTGCTAACCATTGGACTACCATACCACCCCAAATTTTGATGGTATTAGACAGAAGCTTTCAAAAGTTGAATGGGAGAAGGCTATTTGGATGTAAAGGGACAGTTTAAAAGTGGGAGGCTTTTAACAATGAGATAATGAGAGTTCAGAAGCAGTATGCTCCTGTTAGTGTGAAGGACAAGGCTGGTAGCTGCAGGGATTGATAAATAGTACAGAAATTGAGGCTGTGGTCAAGAAAAAGAAGGTGGCATATATCAGGTATGGACAGCTGGGATTGAGTTAATCCCTAGAACAGTATAAGGGCAGTAGAGTATACTTAAGAAATCAGGAGGGTAAAGAGGTAACATGAGATGATTTTGGCAAATAGGGTTAAGGAGAATCCAAAGAGATTCTATAAATGCATTCAGGGCAAAAGAGTAAAGAGGGACAGATTAGGGTCCCTTAAAGGTTAACATGGCCATCTATGTCTGGAACCACAGGAGATGGAGAGATACTAAACAATATTTTGTGTCAGTATTTACTGTGGAGAAGGACATAGAAGCTAGGGAACTTGGGAAAATGAATAGTGATGTCTTGAAAAAAGTTCACATTACAGAAGAGGAAGTGCTGGAGACCTTAAAAAGCATAAAGGGAGATAAATACACAGGACCTAATCAAGTGTTTCCCAGAACTTTGTGGGAATCAGCCCATCTGAAGTTTTAAATTCATGGGCAATTTCTACCTTTGTATCACAACCTGTACAGAGTCCTTGCGCGTATCTCCAAATTGACATCCCATCTCCAAATGGACATCCCATCTCTGACAATCTGAAGACTAGAATATATGGTGTTCCAAGCACATGGGCCTTGCCCCAGCCTTCCTCATTTACACTCATCATAATAGCCTTCACTACCTTTCTCTGTCTCAAGCTTATTGAGCTTCCCCTTAAAGTCTAAAACCACACAAAGAATGATTGACAATGGATGTGTCGAAATACACAGACTGTGGCAAATGAGGTTTGTGAGCTGCAAACAGCTTTGTTCACAGAAAGGAATAAGAGTAGGAGTAGGCCATTAAGCCCTTGAGCCTGTTCTACCATTCAATAAGATCATGTCTGATATGTGGCCTAACTTCATATACCTGTCATGGATCCATATCACTTAGTACCTTTGCTTCACAAAAATATATCTATTCTGGTTGTAAAGTTAATTGATCCAGCACCCACTGCCGTTTGTGGAAGAGAGTTCCAAACCTCCATCACCCTTTGTTTCCTAACATCTTACTGAACAGTTTGGCACTATCCCGGTTCTAGAATCTCCAACCAATGAAAATGGTTTGTCTTTTTCTACCCTGTCTTTTCATGTTAATATCTTGAAGACATTGATCAGATCACCCCTTGACCTTCTAAATTCTTGAGAAAATAGGGTTAATTTCTGTAATCTGTTCTCACAACTTAACCTGGCTGATCTTGGACTTCGGCATCACTTTCCTGCTCAGTCCCCATATTTCATGATTCTGGCTTGAAATATTTTCAGTAATGGCGATTCCAAAACCTTCTGGGGTAGAAAATTTCAAAGATACCCAACACAGGAACAGCGGTAGGCCATTCAGCCCATCAAGCCTACTTGGCCATTCAGAATGATCGTTAATTATCAAACTCTTCAATGCTTTTAACCCACCCCATTCCCATAACCCTGTACACCAATGGTAATCAGAAATCTATCAATGTCTTTCTTAAATATACTCAAAGATTGAGATTCCACAGTCCTCTGTGCTACAGAATTCCAAAGATTCACCACCCTCTTAGTGAAAATATTTTCCTGCATCTCAGTCGGAAATGCTTTGTCCCTTACCCTGAGAGTGTTCCTCCATATATTAGGTACCACAGTCAGGGCAAAACAACCTCTTAGAATCGAGCATCTTCAGAATCTTTAAGATTTTAGGTGGTCATTCTTGTAAACGTCAGAAAATATTGCCCTAATTCACTCTGTCTTAGAAATAGGACAGTTGCAAATCAAACCCCCTGCCACCACCCCCGTCCCTGTCACGGGGAATAATCGAGTGAACCTGGATGAAGGAATAGACTGTACTTTTCACACCATATCAGCCAATAACATGAATGCTGCAGCACGTGGCAAAACATTACAAAGAGATATCCAGAAAAATCAGAGGTGGAAATGGTGCCAGATGTGTACCCTAGGTAAAGTAGATTTCTATGTTCTAAATAGTAAGGAGCTAGAAGCTGCAGAAACCCTGGCAGATTTGGCAGTTCCAGGAGTAGGATAGATATCAATAAAAGATTGCAGCCAGGTACAAACACAGGTGGCTTACCTCGTGCGTTACAAAGGAGTGCAGCCTGACATCAGCTCGTTCCCGGACGAGCTTCCACACATCATCCCCATACGATTCTTTGATGAAGTCATGTAGACTTTCGCATAGCAGCCCATACATCATGAACAGATGAAGTGAAGACAGAAGGGGCACACCCAGAACAAATCAGCTTCTCACCAGCAAGGGATTGGGACTCGGTAATATTGAACACAAACGTCACAGTGATTTCCTTTACAGAGCCCACTGCAGAGCTAAGGACTGAGGGTTAGGGTGTATGTTAGACGTGGTCTCCACAGGCGAAGTGACTGCTCATATTGAGAAAGCTGTAATTATAGCTGCAGCTGACATGAGCAAAGCAGCACTCAAGAGGCAGCTGTCAGTTACAAATGACCACTCTTTTTGTCTCTGAGAGGACAGAGTCTGTTCCCTTGACCTCATTCAGTCAACTTGTTCTGGGAGCTGGCAACTTAATGGAGAGTAACAGCTCTTCTCCTGAATCTCCTCAAAGCTCCTAGTAATACAACAGTCAGTTTCACTAGAATGTCCATCTTGGGTCACAGAGGCTCCAAAACTGGAAGCATGAGCTGCATGGACAAGAAGGCAGCTCCAGTCAGTCCCAAGAACCATCAGCAGTTGACACACAGAACACCAGCAGCATCTCTAGTGAGACCAGCATTTTTACCTATCCCTAATCACCCTTAAAAGCTGTGAGTTCCCTTCTTAAACCACATTGTAGTGGATACAGAGACACATGAAATAGGAACAAGACAAGGCCATTCTGCCTGGCAAGTCTACTCCCCTATTCGATATGATCAGGACAGAACTTGGGGTTCAATCTCAAAATGACTCCAAGACCCTCTTGGGCAGAAAATTACAAAGATTCACAATCCTTTTAGAATGAAGAGATTTCTCCTTATCTAAGTCTGAAATAATTATCCCATTATTCTGAAAGTGTGTCCCTGTTCAAGATTCTCCCGCCTGGGGTAAATATCCTCTGTGTTGCCTCTGGCAAGACCCTTTAAAGCACCCACAGTGCTGATAGGGACAGAATTCCAATGAGTGAAACTCATCCCCAGCCTAAGATTGTCAGGATTTGGTATGCTATTCAATGTCAAGGGAAAGAGTTCATGTCAGTCCTGTTGGAGATGGTCATTGCCCAATACCTGTGTGGTGCGAATGTTACTTGCTATATGTGAAACAAGTCTGAATATTGTCCAGGTCTTGCTGCATGTGTGTGTGGACTTCTTCAGAATCTGATAAGTTGCGAATGATGCTGAACATTGTGTAACCATTGGCAAACATCCCCATTTCAGACCTTATGATGAAGGGACAGTCATTGCTGATGTAGCGAAAGATGATTGGGCCTAGGAAACTATCCTGAGGAACTTCTGCAGAGATGTAATGAAACTGAGATGAATGAACTCCAACAACAACCAACTTCCTATAGAATCATAGAATCTCTACAGTGTGGAAACAGGCCATTCAGCCCATTAAGCCAACACCAACCCTCCAAATAGCATCCCTTCCAGATGCATCCCACTAACCTATCGTGTAATCCTACATTTTCCATGACTAAAAAATCCACTCAATCTAAAGATCCCTGCACACTTTGAGCAATTTAGCAGGCAATCAACCTAGCCTGCACATTTTTGGACTGTGGAAGGAAATCAGAGTACCCAGTGGAAACCCATGCATACGCGGGGAGAATGTGCAAATTCCAAACAGCATGAGGTTGGAATCAAACCCAGTTCGCTGGCACTGTGAGGCAGGGTTAAAGACAAACCCAAAGCATTCTATATATACATTAAAACAAGAACATAATTAGGGACAAGGTAGGACTACTCAAGGATAAAGGAGGGAACTTGGGCTTGGAGGCAGAGGATGTTGTCAAGATCCTAAATGAGTACTTTGTGTAGGTATTCTCTCAAGAGAAAGATGTGGAGGATATTGAGATTTGTGTGGAGCATGCTAATATGGTGGGGTATTTTCAGATCAAGAAAAAAGTGCTGGGTTTCTTGAAGCACGTTAAGGTGAATAAATCCCCAGATCCCAATGGTATCTAACCCGTTGAGTGAGACAAGAAAGGAAATTGCTGCGGTCTTGACCAAGATTTTTGTGTCCTTGTTAGCTATTGGAGTGCTCCCTGAGGACTGGTGAGTTGCTCATGTTGCTTAAGAAAGGAAATAGGGAAAATCCAGGAAACTATAGACTGGTAAGTCTCACATCAGTGGTTGGGAAGCTATTGGAGAGGATTCTTGGGGATAGTATTTACACTCATTTGGAAAAGCATGGCCTAATTAAGGACGGTCAGCATGGCTTTGTGTAAGGCAGGTCATGTCTTACTAACTTGATTTTGGAGGTGACAAAAGTGATTGATGAGGGTGAAGCAGCAAATGTTGTCTACATGGATTTTAGTAAGGCTTTCAACAAAGTTCCTAATGGAAGGCTTATCCAGAAAATTATGATGCATGGGACCCAAAGTGACTTGGCCGCATGGATTCAGAATTGGCTTGTCCATAGAAGGCAAAGGGTCACAGTGGGTGGGTGTTTTTCTGGCTGGAGATGCGTGATTAGTGGTGTTCCACAGAGATCCATACGGGTACCTTTGATGTTTGTGAGTTATATATATGATTTGGATGAAAATGCAGGTGGGTCGGTTAGTAAGTTTGCAGGTGATTCAAAGATCAGTGGAGTTGCGGATAGTGTAGAATGTTGTCAAAGGATACAGTGCGATATAGATCAGTTGCAGATATGGGCAGAGAAATGGCAGATGGGAGTTTAATCCAGGTAAGTGTGAGGTCCTGCACTTTATGAGATCAAATGTGAAGGAAAAGTACACTGTTAATGGCAGGGAATGAACAGTATTGATGTTCAGAGGCATCTCGGAGGTTAAGGCCATTGTTCCCTGAAAGTGGCCTCGCAAGTTGATGGGGTGGTAAAGAAAACATATGGCATGCTTGCCTTTATTGGTCAGGGAATTGACCACAAGGGTCAGGATGCCATGTTGTGACTTTATAAGACTTTGGCTAGGGCACACTTAGAGTATTACTATTCTCATTACAGGAAGGATGAGGAGGCTTTGGAGAGGGTGCAGAAGAGGTTTAGTCGACACGGTGTGGAGCTAGAGGAACACTGCAGGTCAGGCAGCATCAGAGAAGCAGAAAAGTCGATGTTTCAGGTCGGGATCTTTCATCAGGACTTCATCCGAGGTTTACCAGGATGCTGCCTGGATTAGAGGGTTTGAATTATAAGGAGAGGCTAGAAAAACTTGGGTTGTTTTCTCTGGAGTGGCAGAGGTTGAGGACAGACTTAATAGAAGTCTATAAAATTATGAGATGCATTGGTAGGGTTGGCGTTCAGAATCATTTTTCCCAGAGTTTAAATGTCTAATACAGGGAGGCATACATTTAAGGTGAAAGGGGGGAGTTCAGAGGAGACGTGAGGGGCAAGTTTTTTGTACAGAGTGGTGGCAGCCTGGAATGTGCTGCCAGGGATGGTGGTGGCAGCAGATAGAATAGGGGCATTGAAGGGATTTTTAGATAAGCACATGAATGTGCAAGGAATGGAGGGATATGGACCATTCGGCTCAACCTTACAGGTTGCAGTGGAGAGGCAATGGGCAATATTTAAAGAACGGATGGTAACAGATTGGTACAAGTATGGTAATAAATCTGGGAACAGATTGGGACGGGTATGGAAAAAAAGTAGTAATAGGTATGCAAACAGTAAAAGATTGGGATGAGTACAGTAAGAGATTAGATGGGTATGTGAACAGATTCAGATGGGCATGATAAATTAGGATGGGTATGAACAGATTGGGACGGCTACGGTAACTGATTGGAATGTGTGTAGTAAGAGATTGGAATGGGTATGGGAACAGGTTGAGGTGGGTATGATAGATTGGAATGGATATGGTGAGATTGGGATGGGTATAGTAACAAATTGGGGAGGTTTCGTGGGTTAGGATAACCATCTCATTAATTACCCCTTCCCCTTCCCCATATCACTGACATCCGGTTCACACATCGTCAACAGGTTCTCGGACCCGATTCTCTTCCTGATTCGGGCAGGTCCGGTGTTCGTTGTTCTGATTGGCGAAAACAGTCTGTATCAAACTATCATCACCAATCAACTTGAGGTGGGACCTAGAGTGAAGCCGTAACCAATCAGTGAAGAGGGCGGGTACAGTCCTATGCAGCGAATAAGATCGACGCTTCCGGGAAAAAAAAACTGCGGAGGGTGAGGTCCTGGGATGGAGCTGGAGAATATTGTGGCAAATACAGTATTACTGAGAGCCAGAGAGGGTGAGGAGGGGTAGTGTCACTGAGATCCATAGGGGATAGGGAAGGAGAGGAGGGAAGCAGCGTTACTGAGAGCCAAAAAGGATGGAGGAGAACATCCTTACAAGGACGAGCAGGGATAGAGTTGCTGAGCGCAAATTAGCATGATGGGGAGGGACAGTGTTGCTGAGACTGAGGGTGGAGAGGGAGGACAGTGCCACTGAGGGCTGGGGTTTGGGGGGAATGGTGCCATTGAGGGTGGGGGAAGGAGAGGAAGAGGTGGGATGGTGGCAATGAGGGCTGGGCAAGGAGGGTGCCACTGAGCGCCAGAGAGGGTGAGGAGGAAGGGTGCTGTCTTGGGCTGGGGAGGGCAGTGCCATGGGCTGGAGCTGATGCAGGGGATGGTGCCACTGAGGGCTGGGAAGTGTGATGTTGATGGTGTCACTGAGGGCTGGGAAAGGTGTAGGAAGCATGTAAAAGTATAGAATTTTGAGAATGAATGCAAATGTGTGTATTTGTATGTGGAGAGGAGGGTGCTAAATGGAGATAAAAGAGATGAGTAATTTTGGGAAGATTGGGTGAATTGTGAGCAACAGCAATGTGGTGTTACATGTATTTTGTGTGAAGAGGTAGGAATCTTGGGCACGGAAGGGAGGATAGGGTGGGATAGTGTGTGTAATGTGATTGTGAGCTGCATGGTGATCTTGCTGTCCCTTGATCAGGCTGGTTAATGGATGTGATAATGCATTGTTCTCTCTCTGCCCCTTGCCCTCTGTGTCTGCCTGCCCTTCGCCCTCTGTGCCTGTCTCGCACGCTCCCTTTGTTCTTGCCTGCACCCTTCCTATCCTCTCCCTGTCTTCTGTGTCCTGTGCAGGTGGTGGTGGGAGATGGAAAGGGAAGAGCAAGAAATGGCGTCAGATGCTGCAGTTTCCCCACATCAGCTTGTGTGAAGAGCTGAGACAGACGATTGGTGAGTCACGTTCACTGAGCTGGGCCAGTATTTTAGTCTGAGACCTACTGACAGGCAAGGTCTAAAGTCAACGTGCATCTCTAATCCTGGGGGTAGTGCTGGACTGTCAACTAAGTGTTGTATCTAGGGTGATGCCCATAGGGAAGATGTACTTATACAGGATTGATTTGAACTTATTCAGAACCTATGCTACTTGATTTGTATTTGATATTTTTGGGTCCACTTTGGTTAAATCAAATCTTCAGCATCTGTAATTCTTTGTTTTATATTAGTTAAATCGCATCTCTACTTCATAATAATAGCCTTTCTTCCTGGCCTTTGCTCTTTCCTATGACAGCCTCAACTCACTAAATGAGGATCATAAAGTGTGCTGGCCTTGCTGTTGAGGATGTATGTCTCATGGGCTGCACTGTCTTGCTTTGCTTTGCCTTTAGACCATGATAAATAGGATACAAACAGGCTTTGGCCCACTGAGCCTGCCTCACCATTTAGTGAGACAATGGCAGATGTTAAGTACTTGTCTGCACTTTCTCCGTAACCTTTGATTCCCTTAGTGATTATAAATCTGTCTCTCAAAATTGAACATACTTATCAACTCGGTCTTGACAGCCCTCTGTGATAAAGAATTCCACAGATTCCCTACTCTGAGGAAATTCCTCCTCATCTGTCTTAAATGGCAAACTCTTAGTCAAAGATTATGCCCTGCAGTCCTGAACACACTCACAAGGGGAAACAACCTCTCTATCTATCTTGTCAAGTCCCCTACGTTTCAATAAGGTTGCCTTCTAATTTTTTTCAGAGTGCAAGCCCAACATATTCAACTTTACCTCAGAAGACATTCCCACCATACCTGATATCAGCCTAGTGAACCTTTTATGGACTGTCAGTACATTTTAGCTTGGATAAGGGGCCCAAAACAGTTCACAGTATTCTAGCTGTTGTCTGATTAGTACCTTGTAAAGTTTTAGTAAAACCTCCTGACTTTTATATTCCATTCTGTTCAAGTTTTCCCTCTCTAGTTCCTGCTGAACCTGGCCCAAATCCATCTGTTCTGTAGCTTTCTGCAGTCTTTCGCCTTTACTTAAAATGATTCTCTATTTTTTCTGCCAAAGTCCATAATGTCTTATTTCCCCACATCATATTCCATTTACCAAGTTTTTGCCCATGCACTTAACCTGTTGATATCACCTTGCAGACTGTCGTCCTTAGCACTGCTTTCCCACTTGTTTTTCTATCATTCACAAACATGGCTTCCCTCATTCTTAGAATAAGAATTAGCTTTATTGTCACGTGCACTTGATTGAGTGCAATGAAAAGTTTGAAATGTTGCCGCTTATGGTGCCATCTTGGGTACAGGATATCTAGGTACAGATACTTGGTATTTGGAACAAAATTGAAAGAATAATAAGAAAAAGCCCAGCAAAAGAATAAAAAGGGGGGAAAAAAGTACTTGAATTCCAGTCCTTTTCACCCCAGTCGGTGGCAGGACCTAGCTTTTAGATCGCACTGGGCCAAGTCTCCAGACCATGCTGGGCTTCAAAACCCGAGGCCTTGCCTTCAGTTCACAAGGGCCTCTCCTCCCTGTGGTGGCTGCCGGTCTGGGATCCCACTCTAGGACTCTCCTCCCCACGCCAGCCTCCATTCTGGGACTGGCCTCTGGAACTCTCCTCTTGCGCTGGCCTGTTCTAGGACCTGCACTGGTCTGGTCAAGTGCTGGTCTGAGATTTGCCTGCGACAGCATTCAGCCCAGGACTCGCCCCCCCCTTCATTCCCTTCTGAATAAGTTTAAAGTTAGAAGTTTGAGAAGAAAGGGCTGGAACGTGCTACTCTGCTGCCGTCTTGGATCAGAAGTCATTATAATCATTATAAATGTGGTAAATATTTGTGGCACTGATTCCTTTGCCACTCCACTAGTTGCAGGTTACCATTCTGAAAATGCCCCCTTTATCCCAACTCTCCTCTTACCCATCAGCTCCATTCAGCAGACTTTGTCACCCTCATCTTTTGTTTTCCCACCTTTTTTTTGTGAAATCCACCATCATCACTTTTTCCTTCTCCAAGTCATTAATGTATATTGTAAATAACTGTGACCCCAGCACTGATCACTGTGATACTCGAAAGGTGAAAGAGGGTCATGAAAAGTCATTAGCAAACAGAATTAAGGAGCATCCCAAGGCTTTTTGTACGTCTATAAAAAGAAATAGGGTTGGCCCAGTCAAGGACAAAGGAGGGAATCTATATGTGGAGCCAGAAGAGGTAGGTGATGTCCTAAACAAATATTTTGTGTCAGTATTCACCAAAGAGAAGGAGTTGGTGGAGGATGATTTCAAGGAAGGGAGTGTCAAATTTCTAAGCCAAGTTGCAATTAAAAAGGAAGAGGGGTTAAATG